CTGTGAAGGTCACAAATTGCTCCAATACCTGAAAATTTTGAAGAAGTGTTCTCCGTATAAACACCCTAACACTCAAGTCAATAATAGTTTATGATCTAAAAAGGAAAGTTTTCAAGAAGATATATTCTAGAGAGAGAAATGTAGTGGAATTATTACTCTGTATGAAGATAATTAAAAGTATTTATAAACATCATTTATGATAATAATATCACGTGTCATTACTCTATTAGTATATTTGTCAATGATCACATAAGTGCGTCATGTTTACACTTTTAGATTTTATATGAGTTTTTAGATCTAATTGTTAATGTTGAACCTATTAATATTATGTGACTATATATATTATGAAATTTCAATGTCATATAAAAAAATTATGAATGCTCTATTAAATTATAACACAAAATTTGGCTATTTTGAATTTTGACACCCCAACATTTCCCTTAACTAATACAGTTTTTTTTTTTTTCTTTAAATTTCATGGAAACAGAAAGCATACTTTATATTAAAAAAATTAGATATCTTTTGACGGAGAGGTGACCCACCGACATCAGCATAATTGACAAACGGTTAGATCATATCTGGCGCCAGGTTCAGTCCTCTAGCTACAGGCGCTTGTACAATATTTCACGAGAAGGATAGTCACGTACAATGGGTTCAAGCACAAAGCACTTTCCCATCCTCCTCTGTAGTGTAAGCCTACATATCATCCAAAGTTCCAAACACTTGAATATATAAATACCGGACGAGAAATCTTTCTCTTCACCTTCACTGTTGCCGCTGGAAGCCGGAGAAGTAAAAGAAAGGACGATGACGACGGCGGTGGTCTCGTGATGGCGTGCCGTCTCCGGCGAGAGATAACTTTGCTCTGTTTTGATTCCATGATATAAAAAGCAAAAGTGTTTTAAACAAAGCGTCGAAGCAACAAATTTTCGATAAAGTGAAGCACGGGAAGAAAGCTGTTTTGGAGGATTAGCTTAACCACCGGACGAAGGAACTTGCTAATTTTGTTTTATAAAAGGAAGGAACAAGGTGATTTCTTGTTGCAGAGAATGCGTGTGTTTTGGTTTTGATTTTGATTCCGATATGAGAGCTGCAAATTTTCCGATTCCGTCACTTCCCCGGTTGGTACTGTTGGTTTTGCTGGCTACGACGTCGTTTGGAGCCAATGTAACGTACGATCACAGAGCGATCGTCATTGACGGCAAGCGCCGCGTCCTGATTTCCGGCTCCATTCATTATCCGCGCAGTACTCCCGAGGTGAGACCGTACTTTTCTTTTTCCTGAAACAGCATAAGTTGCAGCGTTTTCCGTATGCTCTATTGTCGTTTTGGTGTCGCAGATGTGGCCGGACCTCATACAAAAATCCAAGGACGGAGGGCTAGATGTAATTCAGACGTATGTTTTTTGGAATTTACATGAGCCAGTAAGGAATCAGGTTCGTATTCATTTTTATTATGCTGTTTGGATGCTGAGAAAATGAAAAAGCGTGAATCATAAATGCTGTTGGACTTTAAATGCATTAATTATTAATTAAATTCCATTTTTAATAATTTATTTGTATTTAGGTCCAGCCAACCCGAGCTTTCTGTTCATTAGTGAATAGAATTCTTCATTTTCTTTGAATTGGACTATTATTTTTAGGACTAATCTTCACATTTTATATACAGTATAATTTCGAGGGACGGAATGATTTGGTTAAATTCGTGAAGTTGGTGGGCGAAGCAGGTCTCTATGTTCATCTACGCATCGGTCCATATGTTTGCGCAGAATGGAATTATGGGTAACAATGTTATTATTATTATTATTATT